GAAAATTGCTGTGCTTGTAGGCCCCGATGAGTAATGAATACATGCCAATTTTTAGCCCAATCCGACTTAACCCGTGGGCAGGGCAGAAACCACAAAAAAAAAACATTTTTAGCTGTTTTATTTAAGAAAGTATCACAGTCATGTCATTTTATCCAGTACATGCAAATATGGTATCAAAATGATGAGAATGATCTTTTGAAATTTTTTTTGTTAAAATCAAATTTCGTCGAAAGTAGGTAACCTTTAATGTTAACATGATCTGTGACCCTCATTTTGGAGGAATGTATCATTCTGAAAATTCATGAAATTAAAATGACTTGATAGAGTATGTCTTCCTCTATCAGAATCCACTAAGAATGATTCGAGGTCTTTAAAATTAACAAGATTATGATTATTTGTGTACAGATAGTAGGTTATAGCTAAATCCATTTAAAGGCTTTACATAAGAAGTCATCAAGAAAACTCACTTTTCTGTTTTAATAGCTGAGCAAACTAATTTAGATTTGCACATGTACAGAGTTCAAAACAAGAAAAAGCAAATGTGTACTGTATGATTTCAATGAAGTATCTTGCTAAAATTTCTAGTCTTTTGTGCAATTTAGTAGACATGTTTAGACAGCCGACACTGTGCTTCCTTACCATGCTTACAATACTTTTTTAAAATTGTTTTTAGCTAAAAGTGTATTTTTTTGTGGGTGGTTTCTCCCCCCCCCCCACATTGTAAGTTGGATTGGGCTAAACATTGGTAGGTATTCATTGCTCATCGGGCCCTACAAGCACAGCAGTTTTCATTTAAACTGGAAGGTAAAAAGTGTGTTGGTTTGACATGGAATTATGTACAAAGTCAATGGGAAAAGTAAATATTCAAAAATCAATAATAAATCACAAGATGACGTCATCGTGACGAGGTAGTTGCCTGGTCACTTCGATTACGATCAATGTTTGGGGCCACCAAAACTATGCATTGAATGTGTACAAAGTCAATGGAAAAAATTAAATTCTGCAAAATCATTAATAAATCTTTGTATTGGGATAGCCAGAATTTGCTTAGTGATGCTTGCAATCTGTGTACAAAGTCAATAGGAAAAATTAAATATTAAAAAATAAACAATAAATCACTCAATGATCTAATCGTTACGTCCTCATTTGGGTAATATCGTTGTATTGGGGTAGTTGCCTGGTGTCACCTCCATAAAGATCGAAGTTTGGTAAGTCACCAAAATTATGCCTCAAATCTGTGTACAATGTCAATGACAATGAGGGAAATTAAATATCCAAGACTAAATAGTAAATCACCTGATGACGTCAACATGACGTCATTGTTACGGTAATATCTTTGTATTGGGGTAGTTGCCTGATGTCACTAATCTAAGTTTGATAAGTCACCAAAATTAATGCCTCGAAAAGGAAACTTGATGTACGTTTGTCACAGGACAAACGTGCCGTTTCGGCTTTCAGATGAAAGGTGTTATTAAAGGAAATGTACACCATTGCAATCCAAAGGAATGCAGTGAAACCAATGTCACTATTTGAGAACTACACCATACAAGTCCCCTGTGATAATTTCAGCCCGATTGGTCCAGCCGATGTAGAGAAATCGGCAAAAAATACATAAAAGCTTTTTGGCCTGAACTATGCAGCTCACAGCACGTTTCCAAAGATCGTAACGACTTTTGGATATTTTGTAAGTAAATTGCATGATTTCTCATCAATGACGGGGTGTCTGTGCGAATAAGTTCATGGGCTGTTTACCAACATAACCACCTTTAATGCAAATAAGCTTCTGGACAAAAACCCAACAAATTTTTGTTTGAGTAATTACTAAAGGTGTACAATTTACAATTTTTTTTCAGGTAGAGATGCATTTTTTTTCGGGCAGAGCCAAAGGGCAAAATTACATTTTTTCCATTATGAAAAATGGAAATTGCAAGAGAAAAATAGAGTACGAGGGGAAATATTATTTGAAAAAAGTCTGCAAATTACCCTCAAAAGGGCCCCAAAACACTAAATGTACATTTGTCTTGGGAGTGGAAAAAGAAAAAATTTACACAATTAAGAAAGCCATGTTTTGGTACCGGTATATACACACACGATCGTTGTACAATGAAACCATTGTACAATGAAACTCTAGCACAGCACGTTTAAGAAGGAAACTAAAAAAAAATATTTACAAGATGTACATGTAGACTTGAGTCCAAGCATAGTACAGACATGTACAGTAGCAATTTCCTTCCAGGTTCAAGTGGCCTGCCAGTATTTGCACAATTGAGCAGGTTTGAAGTTACTATCTAAAGCTAAGATCATTGGGCGCTTTAATTGCTACTTGTGGTAAAAAGTACACAGAGTACTGCATCAGCACATAAAAATCTTTGCAAAATGTCTCAGTACGTGTGAAGAAGCAGTGAAAATATGTCACACGGCAGCAACTGGTAGTAGAAAGGCACAAAGGTAATTACATGTACCCAATTACATGGGCAGGTTGAGGTACTCAAACCGTGGACGTCAGACAAAAGAATTAATGATGGTCCACGGTTCCGCATACGTCCGCGATTCCGCAACGTGTACAAAACATACATGTAGTAGAGGTCTTCCAAAAAAGTTAAAGTACGAACATAAGAGGACAATAGGAACGTCTTGGGTGCGTACGTACATATATGCTTAATCAAAACTAACCCTGAATGGAACCCTGAAATTGCATTTTTATTTTACTTCTTTGATTCTGCCTGTCTATATGCTCCGCTGTTACTGTACAATCGAGGATTGAACCACCGATACAGTGGAGTGTATGGTCCATATCAAGGAATCCTGAAGGATAATTTCATTGGTGTGCACTTGTCCTCTAAAGACAGTTTAAGTTAATGGAGTTGAGTTACAGAAAAAACCCCAAACCCAAACTATTGCTCAAGTGTATCTGGTTCCCATATGCATGAAATTAGACACTTATATCACCCACTCTACAAACTAAGTATTACCAGTATTATCCCATTAGACAGCATTCTTCACGTAATTGGTGCAGTAGACAGTAGCACACCGGAATTGTTTTCTTTAGCCCATTTGGAAAATATAGTGTTGAAGGCCGGTACAGGTACATGTACATGAGACCATTCAAAATCAGATAGGCCCTCCTACAACTAGACCATGTGTTGAGGACACCTCATAGCAATTACGCCATACTGGACTAAAATACAGGTAGAAAGTCTTTTAAGCACCTGTGGTCAATTACAAAAATTATCCTGAAGTTTAACCTTTTAAACCTCATTTGTTCCATAATTGTCGGTAACTGGTTAAAATTAGAATGAAAAACCCAAACAGTAAAGTACATGTAGCTCACCAAATAATTTTTCAGTCCAGTAGAAATTGGTGAACCAAAAGCTTGAATGATATCAGGTTAACTTTGACTATACATGTTGACCGACTCTCTAGCTGTTATTATAGTCATTCTTTTGGGAACAGTACCTATTGCTGCATGGTATCCAAAAACATGATCCCCAGCTGCAAAGGGCCCATGTTTAAGACCTATTGACAGACGTCTGGTTTGATTCTTTATTACCGTTTTTGCATTTTTTTTACAAACTGCAGTCGACTCTCATTACAACAAACTCAGTAGGACCAAGCAAAAATGTTTTTTATATCAAAATTTTGTTTTAAGAGGAGTTCTATTTCCATTCACTGCACGAAAAATGTTGAGTTGGAACCAAAGCTTTGCGTTTGTTACAACCAGAATTTGTATTAACAATGTTACAACGAGAATCCACTGTCCTGGTATTGCTAAGTTAACCACAATGGGTAAGAATACAGTGATGAATATTCCCAGATCAAACTTTACTTACTTTGTAGTTAGGTAAATGTGGTTTTTTAACTCGCGCCGGTAGTCGGTGGTACTGATGACTCCGTCAAAGTCAG